TCGACTCTGTTGGTAGGTGTGTTGCCGAATTCAGAGCCCCTGTTTGGGCGCCCTATCCTCAGACCCCGCAGAGTGCTGAGTTTTCGGCCTACACGTGGGCCCACATGCTCGGCATCCCAGGCCACGCATCGGCCCTGTCTGATTGCCTCAACGTTGTTAAGATCGCTGGCCTGCCTAAGGCGGCCCACCTTTCTGGTCAGCGCATGTACTCGGGGGCTTTCCTCCAGTGTTACTCCACTGCGTCCTCCCTCCTCCCCGTTGAGAAAGTTGCTGCTCATAAGGACCGAGATGAGCAAGGCATCTCCAGCGAAGAGAGATGGCGTAGGCAAGGCAACTACTGGGCCGACGTTGGAGCCAAGCATGCTTTAGACATGCATCCTAGCTCGGCCGAAGCCAATGATGTCACGGACAAATTTATCAAGGCGGCCCGCTGCACACTGCGCCTCGCGGCCCGCCTCCTGCCTTTATGGGGCCCCATAGATCTGTCGGGTGTTGAATTGCTCAGTAAGCCTTCGGCTGCCTCAGCGCCCTTGCCACATGTCTGGAGACCCTGGGCGGGAGCGTGGAGGTGTGAAGTTTGTTTACGTGGCACTAGAGCCCTCGTTGAGCCCCCTCCAGGTTCCTGCAGTGGTCGCAGTAAACTAGATGAGGGCCGTCTCTTGGCTCTAGAGCATCGCGTTTTAGCGTTTGACTGCTCCGACAGCAGCGTTCTGTTCATCTGTGTGCGTTGCCACTGTCACTCCTCGGGCCAGAGAGTTCGCGGTTTGTCTGTGAAATGTGTTGGCCGTCCGACCAAGACCACGCGGACGGGATGGAACACGTTGTGCAAACGAGGCCTGCACCCCCAGTTCAGCAAGAGGGAGGTCAGGGTCCACACAGGGAACATCATGAGCCTTTTCAGCTCAGTGGACGGAGTCCTTGGGCCTGACGAGCCTGCCGTGGAGGTGGAGGAGGTCCCCGCCCCCTCGGTTGAGCCTCCCCCTCCCCCGTCCTCGGAGGTGGAGGATGCTCGCAGCAAGCACCAGGCCGTCCTGGCCCAGCGCTTGCTCGAGGTTGCCCGCTCGGGCTCCTCTCGGCCCTTTTCGGGCTAGTCGGCTCTCCTGGCCATCTCTTTCGGCCCAGGTGTCTGCCGCGGCGAGTTTTTCCTCGCCTCTTTACAGGCGTGGGTTTGTCTACCCAGCGGGGGGCGCGGTGCGAGTGGGGACTGCCCGGCGGTGCGCCGTTAGTGACCCTCGCACCGTTGCTCCCCGGCCCCGCGCACGGCGCGGAGAGTTCAACTCTGCCTCTGGCTGGATGGTACAAACAGCCTGCAGGGACTGTGTCGGTTTCGTCCGACAGCAGGCCCGCTGGCCCACATCTGTCCCTCTCCCCCCGCAGTAGAGGGCCAGGCAGAATGTTGCGGTGCAGAGCGTAGAGCTCAAAAAAGCCAATCTTGATTATCATATACGAACAATTTAACGACAGGCATTAGAGGCAGGCAGCACCAGAGCATGAATCGAAGTACTGACGCTACGCACGACGGATTGGACACGCCAGGCGCCACGAAACCACACTTGCTTGTCCGTCACCAAGCTTACTGTCTGTTCAGAAACACTTCATGCAGCCTAATCTGACAACGTGGTACATAGAGGCATTCCAGTACTAATATGACAGGACGGACGCCGACCCGGGGAAGACGCAAGCGTAGGACAGGCGCCACGGCAGCCAAAACCAGAGCGCGATGAACAGCATCACCGAACAATTTTTACATGTGAGCGTTTTTGTTATTCATTGTTTTGCCGATCGGCGCGGGCCCTCGCACCCCCCCCCTCCCCCACCCTCGTGGAGCAGATCTTGGGTTTTTTTGGGCGCCTGTTTCGAGCAGGTGGAGCCTCCCCCTTAATGGACGCACTGTTCCAAACAGTCGCACTAAGCAGAGGTCTGGAGCCAGACCCCCCCCCCTTGCCGCCCAATGTCGAAACGCCGACACAAAAACAAAAACGCTCACCATTACACGACCAAACAGGCATGGTGTGCGTCGCGACGCTTCGCCGGCCCAGGCACAAACAACACAGCAGACATAGCAGGCGCAGCAACGACCGATTTGCAATGGCAGGCTAAATGGCATCCACAGGCGGTCAGACATGGGACGCCAGGGTGACCCAAACATTCGTCGACGAAACTCGCACGACAGGCGTGTCGCTGCCAGGCCCAGGAAATACCACAGGAAGCAACGACCTTTAGAAAGACAGGCGCGACCGTAGACATCTTGAAACATGACAGCCTGTATGACAAGACAAAGTGTTCTGGGAGTCAACATGAGCGCCCTGGTTGGAAGTGGTACCTATTTACTTTCTGGGATCTGGGAGCTGTGTTGTTTTGCAACAACAGATCGCCACAACACATATCACCTCAAAGCAACAACATATACCCAACACAACCGCATCCGTTCACAACACATACCTACACATTTCACCACAACACATGTCGAAAGCCCGATGTATCATCCTCGTTGTCCTCGGTGGTTTCTTCCTTCCGCATTTCCTGCCTCTTCCCTCCTCGTCCGCCTCCCCCTCTAGGAGTCCTGAGGTTTTCAAATAAATTCTCGAGTAATCCCTGAGAAATCCACCAGCTATCCTCATTAGAACTCTTTCAGACATCCTCCAACAATCCTGCAGACATCCCCCAGAAATCCTTGAAGTTCCTTCGAGAAGCCTCTACGGGCCCTTGGGAGTTTCTAAGGAGCTTCGAAGGAGCCTCCGGGGAGCTTCGAAAGAGCTGCTCAGGAGCCTCTAAGGAGCCTCTACGGAGTTGCTAAGGAGCCTGTAAGGAACTCCGAAGGAGCCTCTGAGGAGCTGTTAAGCGCGCGTCTAAGGAGCCTCTCAGGAGCCTCTGAGGAGCTGCTAAGGAGCCTCCAAGGAGCTTCTACTGAGTTTCTGAGGAGCTTCTAAGGAGCCAAAGAGCGTGTAAGGAGCTTCGAAGGAGCTTCGAAGGAGCCTCTAAGGAGCCTCTAAGGAGCTTCTAAGAAACCATTAAGAAACATTGGAACAGCTTGAAAAGCGGTTGAACTTGTCCCAGTTGGTTATAATTTCGCCCATTTTCGGTCCGAACCTCCACCTTCCCACAAAACAAGGTGGGGAGGGGGGGGGGTCCAGACACCCTCCCCTTGGGGGAACATTATTGGGGGGGGGTCCAGGTACCCCCCGCCCCCCCCCAGGAACATGGAAAACTGTTTGTGGGGTCCAGAGCTACCCCTCGCCTACTCAGCATCGACGACGACAGCGACGACGACGAAGACGACAACGAACAGGGAAGACCACAATGACGACGGACGACGCACGACGCACGACTCACGACGACTCCGACGACTACGACGACGACGCCGGCGACGTCGTTGTCGTCGTCGTTGCCAGGATGGGGGGGGCCCTTGGGCCCCTTGAATCCTTTTCCTGGGTGGGGGGTGGGGTGTACGGACCGACCCCCCCCCTCCGAACAGTTCTCCTCGGAGGTTGAGGGGTAGGGGGGGAAAGGCTGGCTTTTGACCGCCCCCCCCCTTCAGGATATCTTGTGAGGGGGGGAGGGGGCGAGGAGGAGGAGGAGGAGCGAGGGAGGGAGGAGCGACGGAGGGAGGAGCGAGGGTGGCGCGAGGGGCCCCCACGTTTCCGACGACCCCTTCTGGGATTCGCTCGGGCCAGCGACGGTGGATCGCGCTCTCTCTCTCTCTCTCTCTCCTTGGCACCGCTGGCAGAGGACCGGGACAGGCGGAGCCAGCAGCATCACACCGCACAACCACGACGGACGAAGACGACGAGGCATGCCAGCGAGCTGGCGAGGCACGGCAGCACCACCACGCTGCGTGTCGTTCGCCACCAGGCAGGCTGAAGATGTTCGGTCGGCAGTTTCGGCCAGCCACCCGGCAAGGTTGATGTTGTTAGCTGGGCGTTTCAGGAGGGACAACAACACACCGACACAATTAATCGTCGATTCCCAGGAAATTATGAAAACAATGGGAAGTGGGGGGGAAGACAGAAACACAGAAGATATTAGAAATATGGGGAATTCTGGGATTGGTGTGCATTTATTTGTGTGTTTGTGGGCCCCTTCAGTGTTCCTATACCGCGGCGCGCCGGCGGGATCGCAATGGCCAGTCCACACGTCCACGCGGCCCAAGGCAGGCGCCAGGAGCCGAGCGACGCCCCCTGGAGCAGGACGAGGGAGAAGAGGAAGGAGAGGAGGGAGCACGAGCCCCCCCTCCCACCAGGGTCCTTGCCGGGTGGGAGGGGCAGGAAAGGTGTGCATGGCTGCGGGAGTACCCGTCTACCGCCATGAGTGTCAGGGAGTGAGGGGGTGTGAGGACGAGGCAGGAGCGGGAAGGGGAAGCCGATCAGGAAGAGGCTCTCCATCTGCCCATGCGCGTTCCTCCGCCGCCGTGTCCTCCCCCTTCTGCCGCTTGTTTTCTGGCACGCGTCAAGTCGGTCGGCGTGATCCCAGGTTGCCGCGAGAGACAATCGCCAGAGGTTCTAGAAGGGATCGCCCGAAGCAAAGTGATCTGGGGGCTTCGATTCGCTCTAGCGGCTTCGAAGGGGCTCAACTGTCACCCGCCAGAGCAGGGATGCAGCTCTTCGGTAGCCTTGCCTGTTCTCCCCACATTGTCGATTATGTTCGCCGGCTAGTGGGCGTTTCCGTGGGCTCGATACTCTCGCACTGTTACTTTTTGTTGTTACTCTGGCGATCGACGACATGTACGGTGACGTCGACGACGTGTATGGGCGATGGTGGCGGTGGACGGCAACGGCGATGGACGGTGGCGGTAATGGAAGCGACGACGATGACGGCGGCAATGAGTACGACGACAGCGGCAGCGGCGGCGACTACCAGACGAGACGACGACGACGACGACGAGACGGCGACGCCGGCGGCGACGGCCGCGACGACCAGACGGCGTCGACGACGACGATGACGACGACGAGTAAGCCAATCTGAGCGTCGCGGGCGGGCGGCGGGGGCACCCCAGCCCCCAGGCGCAGTGCGAGAGCGCTGGCAAGGAGTTCGACGAGCGTGTTGCCACGCGCGCCGATGAGGCTCGCTGGGCGACGGCGGCGGCAGCGGTGGCGGTCTCAGCGGCGCCGACAGCAACGTTGCAGTCGGCGGCCCTGGGCAACGGCGGCAGGGGCAGTGGCGCGTGTACGACGGCGATGCAGGTGACGGCGGCAGCGACGGCGACTGCGGGAAGGAGGGGGGCGAGGAGGTCGAGGAGGTCGGGGAGGAGGAGGAGAGGGTCGAGGAGGAGATGGTCGAGGAGGAGGAGGAGCAGCAGGAGGAGGAGGAGAGGTTGCAGCTCGCAGTTCAAATTTACGCGGTGGAGGGGAGGGAAGGAGAAGGAGGAGGAGGAGGAGGAGGAGGAGGAGGAGGAGGGAAAGCCCGCGGAGGAGGACGAGGAGGAGGAGGGGGAGGAGGACGGGGAGGAAATGGGGGTGGGGACGGGGGGGTGAATTCAGGGGGAGAGGGGGAGGAGGGAGAGAGAGCGGAGGAGGAGGAGGAGGAGGATTGGGGAGAAGAGATGGGAAAGGTGTGCGGGGGAGGAGGAATACCGATGAGGAAAAGTAGGGGAGGGTGCAGGTTGGTCGTCGAACGTCGGATGTGGCGTTCGCCGTGAATTTCGGGGGCGGGCAGGGTGACGTAAACGTACCATTTCCAACAGCAGCCACACGATGGAGGAGGGAGAGAGTACGCGGGGGATAGAGAGGAAATGAGAAGGGAGGGAGAGATGGGAGAGACAACCTGCTTCCCTTTCCTGTCTTCTCCTCTCCCGAGTTCTCACTTTTTCCGCCCCCCCGTCCCTGCCCCCCTCTCCTCTGAACCCTTCTCCCCCCTGGAGGAGGAGGAGGAGAAGGAGGAGGAGCCCATCCACTCCCTCTTCCACCTGCTTTTCTTCCTGCCTCTCCCGCTCATTCCTCCTTCGCTCCATGCCCCCCACCCCTCCCCTCCGCTTGCCTCCTCACCTCTCCGTCGCCTCTTCTCTGCCTCCCTCCCCGGACTTCCTCCCCGCACTCCCTCCTCCCCCCCTCCAATCGTTTTCCGTTTAAATAATTCCTCTTTGTCGCACCCCAAGGCGATCGAAAGGGCGGGCCGGGTGTTTCGCCTGAGACTTCCTCACCACGTATGACCCTGAAGCTTACGAATTGGAAACAGCTTCACAGATGGAGGGCGGGCCGTTTTCAAAATATGGCTCTCGCCCTAGCGCCGCGCACATTCGTTTAAAACATGTGCAAGAGTTTCACGGATTGAGGGCGGGTCGTTTTCAACATGTGGCTCGCGCTTTAGCGCCGCGCACATTCGCTTAAAACAGATGCAAGACTTTCAAGGATTGAGGGCGGTTCATTTTCAAAATGTGGTTCTCGCTTTAGCGCCGCTTAACATTGCAAGAGTGTCACGGGTTCACATGCTCAACGCACCAGAAATGGCGTTCTGGAAATATTCAGGATTGTGAAGCATTAATCATTGTAGGGGCCTATGAAGGGGGAGTTTGGACCGAAGGTTTATTCCAACATCGTTGATGTCTTTTGGGTTTACCTTGGTCCTCCTCCTCCGCCTCGTCGTCTTCTTCTTACTGTTCGTATTCGTCCCTCCTCCTCCTCCTCCTCATCCTCCTGCTCACCTCTCCCGGCCCCCGCGTGGCACGTCCGCGGCGTCGGCGAGGTCAAGGCCATCGCGGAGGCCATCACGATCCTCTCGCAGGACCGGCCGGCTCGCGTCGCGCCCACTTGGGATGTGTTTTATTCGCGATTCCCTCCTCCTCCTCCTCCTCCTCCTCCTCCTCCTCCTCCTCCCCTCTTCCTTTCTTTTTGTGGGCCCGTGCGAGCCAGCGCGCATCTGCAAGCAAGTGCTTCGATATGCGTCGTTCGTCGGCGGGGGTCCATGCCGCAATACACGTGTGGTGTATGGCTTAAAGCACCGCCCACAGACACCTCGAGCGACGCGCGGGCGGCCGACTGGTCTCGCCTCCCCCCGGCGGCCGCTGTGCTGCTTCTATAGGTGGCCGGATGGGCTATGGGTGTCCCGTGTGCAACGTTTGGGCCTCTTTTCCTTATCTCCGCCCTCCTATGACGCCTCCTGGCTCTTGAGACGCAACTCACAATCAGCATCGGCGCTGGCACATCCGTTGTCGAAGCCAGCCCAATAGGCCCTCATCCCGCTGAGCCCTTCTCTCACATCCTCGGAGGCACGCTTCGAGAAGCAACCACATGGTCATGTGGCTTGCGTTTTGCTGTCGCTGAAGAGAAGACAGGCAGCTGCCCCCTCCCTCTGCGACGTTCAGCCCCTCAAGATGCGGGGTCAACTTGAAAGATCTGGATCTTGCCAACGCTTACGTCTCTGGCGACCGGTCCTTCGGACCCTGGTCGACTTGGCCGCGCTGCTCGTCGCCAGGAGCAGCATCTGCGGGGACGTCGAGGCTATCCAGACCCCCTGTTGAACACAGAAGCTGGAGACTGGCAACGCTGGCGTCTCGGGCGGCATCGAAGCCTCTCATACCTTTGTCTGCTCATCAAAAACACCCGCCTCTCGGGCGACATCCAGGCCATGCAGCCTTTTGTCAATGTGACCGCTCGCTTCCTCGCCATATCCAGAAGCTGGTGTGACATTCATGGAATTTTAGTCGTTGGCCAAGTTGAAGCAACTGCGGCTCAGATATTAGATCCAGGCCTTGCAGACCATGCTCGACATCACCGAGCTGTGGCTTGCCAGTGAAATGGTCTTGAGCGACATCCAGGCCTTTGTAAAACTCTTCTCAGATCCGTCTGAACCTCACCAGAACCAGGATCTCGGGCGACATCCATGTTGAGCAGACTGGCAACACAACCATGTGATGCTGAGAGCCTCGCAAATGGCCTTCAAAATTGTCGCCGTCGCAATTTCGTTGGCGCTCTCCCTCGCAACATTCGTTGAATTGCTTGCGTTAGTAGTTTGCTGGTCGTGGTATAGGTTGAAGCGAGCTTGATGCTACAGCAAAGTGTTCTCAAGATTTCTCAAATCTTTTCTCGACTGACTCTTCTCAGCATTATAGATGTGCACGTGTTGTGCTGCATGGTCTCATACGTGTTCAGGCCATAAAATGCGCGGCTTCGCGTTGTTCGTGAAAGTTCGACTCGTCCTGGCGACGATCTGGCCCCGCGTTCTCCAATTCTTGACCCTCCTCTCCCTATGGAGCCCCTCCTTTGCCTTATTGTGATGCCGCTCTGCCCCCACATGGCTCGTTGGACAACACGACCCCGCGACAGCGTTTTCTTATTAATTGCTTCGCTCACTCCGCCGTCCCGTAGCGTGCCATCGCAGGCGTTTGCCTGCGCGTTCGTGGCCTCTTGGCGGTATTCCTGGGACCTCCTGGGGTCGGAGGCCTCTTGGGGGCCTCTTGTGGATCGGGCCTCTTGGGGGCTTCTCGGGGGCCTCTGGGGGCCTCCACGGGACCTCTGTGCACCTAGAGCTCGAATCGAAATGTCCGTTCGGGTCCCTCGTATGGACCCGCTCTTGGAGCCGTCTTGGGAGTCTCTTCGGCCATCTTGCAGGCCTCTGGGGATGTCTTGGAGCCCTCTGGGGCCGCTTTGGGCGCTCTTTGAGGCCTCTTGGGCCGTGTTGGGGCCATCCTGCGAGCCTCTCGGGCCGTCTTGGAGCGCCGGTAAGCCGAAAAGGCGAGAACGCTAAATACCTTCAAACTGACAGAAAATCACAAATTTCTGCCTCTGTGGGCCCTCTTGGGAGGTCTCTTGGAAGCCTCGTGGGGCGTCTTGAAGGCGCTTTGGGCTGTCCCGATGCCAACTTTGGTGTCTTGGATCGCTCTTGGACCATCACGGACTATCTTGAGCTCTCTTATAGGCCACTTGAAGCGCTCCCGGAGCGCCTTTGGGAGCCTGCTGGGACCTGGCCGGGACCTGGCCGGGATTTGCCCAGGGCATTGATGGGACTTGCCCGGGACTTGCCCGGGACCTTGCCAGGATATTTTTCGTCCAGGGACCCCCAGGGGCGGCCCCGCGCGCGCGAATTAGAAATCTTGTCAACCAGTTGCCAGAGATCTTAGCGGTCCCTTGGTCCGTTGGGCTCGCGAATTCCCTCTCGCCACCAATTGTGACAGTCTGGGCCTCCTAGATGGGGTCCGAGTAGATGGGGTCGGAGGATCGCGCCGCATCGCGGATGCATCGTCGATGCATTGGCGATGCGGCTCGATGCGGGGCCCAATTTTCTCCATGCCGACGTCGCGGATGTATCGCCGACGTCGCCAGTGCATGGCCGATGCATCGCCGATGCATCGGCGATGCGGCGAGATCCTCCGACCCCATCTACTCGGACCCCATCTAGGAGGCCTCCAGACAGCGTGGAGGAATCACACATAAGTACACACCCTGCCATTTCGTCGGAGGGCCAAGGGTGCATTGTACAGGCGCCTGGGCAGAGAAACTCTTGTGGTGTAGCGTGTGGATGCGCGAGTGGCGTGGGCGCCCACGCCGTGAACAACCACGGAGCTGCTCGGTCCAAGCTGCGTGGCTGTGTGTTCCCGCTGTTGGTTCGAGGTTGGTGACGGTCTGTGGAGCCAAGGAGAGAGGAGAGACTATCGGCGGCGAGCGAGGGGGGGAAATGAGAAGGGGCGGACCTTCTCAGAAGGCTCCGAAGCCCCCCCTGCCTTCTGAGAAGTTTTCGAAGCCTTCCCCGAAGACACAAAAACACGTCTTGGAAGGCACGAGGGTTTCTGAGAGGTCACGCCGCCTTTGAGAAGGTCTTCTCGTTTTCACGTTCCCCCCTTGCTCGCCGCCGATACATGAAACGGGCACCGTTGCAGTCGGGCCTAGGCCCAAAAAGCATCCCTCAAGAACACGAGACCCTCTGTCGGCCACAAAACAAAGAGAACATTCAGGGGTACTTTAGGAGGCAACTACTGAGTGGTCTTCGTTGGAAGGCGTAAAGAGGATTAAGCCCCATTTGGGGGGCTGGTACGCCGGATTGGGTCTCGGGCTAAGCGGGGTTAAGCTGGGTTAGGCGGCATTAAGCCAGGTTGAGCGGGGACAGCGATAGGAGGGGATAGCGATAGGGTGGATGCATCGACCCCCCTAATCCCCAATCGCATTCGACACGGATAGGGCCTCGACGGAACAGACACGGTCCCTTGAGGATGCAGCACAAGGCAGGTGGAGGACGAGCACCATTCAGGACGATTCAATGCCAACCCATGTGAGTTTCGTATACACTCGTAACCCCCTGTTTCGAGTTCACTCGCGTCGATCAGCGTCTGGTAGCCCTTGAGGTAATTCCGATCTAGCGTCGATTAGCGTCGATCAACTAGCGTCGACTAGCGTCCACTAGCGTCGGTTCGCAAGGGCTAACAGGATGGTATGGGAGGCTTCCATGCGTTGCCGCAGAAGGATGACCACAAACAAACGCACACAGACACAAAGAAGTGTCGACTTTCCCAGGAGTATTGATGGAACAACGAATTGAAAAGTGGAGGAGAAGACGAAGTTCTCCAGAAAACATGGAACCTGCAGAGGATTCCTGTGACCCTCCATCTCCACCTTCCATATGCCTTTCCGACCTCCGCGGGATGTGCGGAAGAAGGCGTCGGAGCTCATGGAAAAACCTCTTGCGCCATTCAAGGACGCCCAGAGTGATCATACCGAAAGAGTGGCGGAAGGTTCTGGCGGAAGGTCCGGAAGCGTGATGGGAGGGGTTCTGTGTGCAGGGCTGGACCTAAACGGTGGCGATTTCGTGGGCCGTTTTCTTTTCGATTTCGTTTAGCGGTAAAGGCGGATTGAAGACGAAACAAAGGAAAACGAGAACAACACGAAAACGGAAAACACCGTTTCGGTTCAGCACTGTCTGTGTGTATTTGTGTGTGCCCCTGGGCCAGGGAGCGCGGCCTGTCCGCGGAGGACTGGCGGGGCAACGCGGCCGCAGACTGGCTTGCCGGGGAGGCTGCGGCTTGCCGCTTGCCGCCTTCCGCGCAGGTCAGCGAGCGGCCGCGGCAGCTGCAGGCGCTGGAGGCGGTGCAGCGCATGCTCGCCGCCGTGGAGCTGGCCGCAGTGAAAACGAACCACGGCGACACTGGCGCTGGCGGGCCGCGCGTGCGACGACGCTGGGCCCCTACCGGGCCGCACCGCCGCCGCCGCCGCGCGCCCCGCGAGGGGGGCGACGCGGCCGTCGCGGCCGCCGTGGCCGCGGCAGCGCTGCCGGGGGCCCAGGGCGCGCCTGCCGAAGCCCCTCGGCGCCCTGGTGCGGCGGCCGCGCTGTTCGCGGGCGCAGCGTGGCGGGCGCTCGTGGCCTCGCAGGGCCCGGCCTGGATGGCCTGCATGGTCTGTTGCTGGGCGCAAGGTTGGGGGCGCATCGCCAGCCGCCCGTGCTCCGGATGTGCCCCAGCGCTGCCCCCGCGGGCGGCCGGGCAGCTGTTGCTCGGGGCCTCGCGCGCAGGCGGCAGCGAGGCCGGCAGGCGCGCGGCGACGCGCCGCCGGCTGCTGGAGCGCCCCAGCCCGTCGGACGAATTTGGAATTAGTTCTCGCCTCCTCTGGAGGCCGCGCTTTTCTTCGGTCTCCCCCTCCCGTCCCTCCTCCCTCTCCGTGTCTCCCTGTGCCACTGGGCTTCGCTGGGCGGTAAAAGCGCGCGCCCCTGGGCCCCTTCCACAAAACGAGGCCCCCTTCCGAGAAGCGGCGGCGGGCCCCGCGGCGTCCGCGCCGTGCGCGCCCGCGCGCCCGCTTCCCTGGAG